TTTAAAATGTTTTTAAAGCAAGACATCTTAAAATCAAATTTCTTATATTTAGCTAAAAGTGGACAAGGCCATGAAATATTCTGATTCTGATAGAAACAGATGTTTGTTTGTTTGTTTTTGTTTATTTTTTATGAGAACTTGTTCATCTGCTGGTGTCATTTTTCGTCTCCTCATGCTCCTTTCACTTCACACTCTAGTGATTTCCCCTCTGGTTGTGTTAACAAACGTGTTTTGACGTAGCTGATATCTGTTTGTACGTAGTCGTTTTACATTATATTCTGGTTGCTTTGTGTTGATTTATTAATACAGTCTGGTATGAAATGATCTTTCCCTTTTAGTAACACAGACTGATCTGAATAAACTTGATTTATCTAATTTCTTTGTAGACTACTGAGCTTGAAAATGGGATTAACCTTAGCTTTCAGGAACTTTACTAAGGTTTGTTGTTGTTGTGTGTTGTTGTTTTTGTTGTTGTTGTTGTGGCTGTGAGACGAGGGCGCCCACTGCTGGTCATTTTATAAAGAGTGCTGTTATTGTGACAGACGACCAGAGGAGGGCGGTCCAGACAAGAATCAATCCCCTGCTCTGTTTTGTTCTGTTTTTCTTTCTTTCTTACGTTTTTTAAAACTTTACTAAAAACAAAAGATCCTAAAATTCACAAAACACTGGTAAGGGTACAAAATTTGAACATAGATGTCATCAGGCTAGGAAGAACTTGGACATGATTCTTACTCAGGATAAAGCTAACTATGTCAAAATAGGAAGAATTGAAACTCTCCATGTAAAAGACAATACCGAAATATTTAAAATATGTAAAATATTAGATTTTTAATGACAGACTATTATTTATATTAAATTGGAGCACAGGGCTCAGGGAGAAGTCATGATTTCCTCACTTTCAGGGGACTACTTCATGTTTATTTATTCTTTTAGGAAATCAGGATATACACTGATTTAAAATTGGTTTTCTTAGAATAAATTTGAAAGTTGTTTTTTCAACAAATGGACCACTTGCAATAACTATTTACGCTTGAGAACTGTTCCAAACATTTATTTAACAAACATTTGTGGCCAAATATACCACTAAAAATAATTTTACATTTCTAAACTCTTCTAAATATTCACAGGTTTATCTTACCACTCTTACCTGGCATGATCAGTAAAAAAATATTTTCCCAATGTCCTCAAATGAGTACTTTATCTTTACCAACATTGCATTTTGCTTCAGTTGTAAACAATGTGTACTTTGCATGCCTATGACGTTAATGATACAACTGTGCATAAATGTACTGATTTCAAGCATGAAATTTAATTTGGATTTTTTTTACCTTGGCCTTTTTTTTTTTTTTTACAAGAGTTGTAGAAGCTTTTTACTGGGATCCATCTTTTCACTCAAATGAGTGTAATAATGTCATGGGACCACTAGAGGGTGCTAGGAGTGTCCTTTGTTGAGGCCAGTTGGTTAAAGTTGAAAAAAGTGTTGTATCATGGGCAGAGAGGCAAAAATGAAATGTCCTCTTATGAGGACGCAGGGTCTCAAGAAGTTAAGTCTAAAGCTACATCTCCTCAAGGGCTTGTGTGTGTGTGTGTGTGTGTGTGTGTGTGT